TTGGAGTTGTTGTGCTGCTGATGTTAACTTGCACTACTTCCAACAAATTCATCCCAGAATGGTAAGGAAATGTCATTCCTCAAAGGATTTGTTTTTAAAAGATCCTCAAAGGATCTTAGTTTGGGGAAGATGGAGCAGTTGTTGGGGATTTATGGAGGCTTACAACCTAGGATCGTAACAAATTAAATAAATAAACTGCAAAAGTTTATACTTCTCATTGTATAATCCTTTTAGTTTTTCTATATATATATATAATGATTAGTATTTAATTTATAGAAAGGATACTTTTAATTTTTTCAATTCATTTTTTTTCATTTATATAATCATATTCTAATCATCTATATAATCATATTCTAATCATTTGGTCTTACTTAAATGATTTAGCGTTTTATCTCGTTAGATCAATTAATAATTTATTTATTTATTAATCTAGGATGATTATTAGTGGTAGTATTTGTTCTAAAAATTCTCAATCATTTGATAATGAATACTTAAATACTCTGTTGTCATTGGTACTTGAACCTGAAATATCTAAGAATAACAACAATCTCTTTAACCATTAAAGTTGTTAGGTTCGTACTTTATTAATAATATGATATCATGTGTTTTGTTAATAATATATTCTTATCGCATACGATTAGCAATCGAAAGTTTTTTATTGGTTCGGTTAAAATAAAGAAAATCAAATAATCAACATAACTTATTAATTGATAAAAAGCCTTATATATTATTTATATTTAGTGTATATTTTAAATTTATTTAAAATAAAAATAATTCTACCATACTTATTATGTGGGCAAAATCAACCCAATAATCCAAGCAGGTAAATTATTTAGTCCAATAAGACGACCTAAATATTATTTTAGAATCTATGACATTTGCTATAGTGTTCGTGAAACTCATCACGCCCATGTGACGATTTTCATTAAATATATTAAAAAATAAAACTTGTCCTATGATATGAAAAAAATTGTATAAAACTTATCACACCGCATTATGAGTTTTAATTTTTTAATATAATTTATGAAACACGTCACGCCCACGAGACGAATTTCATGTGCACTGTAAAAATGTCATAGATACCAAAATAATTTGTCCGCTTGGATTATTAGGCTGATTTTGCCTCTTTTGTAAGTACAAAAATAATTCAAAAATTTTATTTAAAATAATTTTTTTCATAAAAATAATTTAATTAAAATTTTAAAAATATAAAATTAACTATTCTAAATGGTATTTATTTATACAAAAATACAAATAACAAATATAAACTTATAAACATATACTATTTATTTTTATATTTTAAATTTTACATACTTTCAAATTGTGATATCAAAATCAATAAAACACTTTTAAAATATACATTAAAAGTAAAAAAGAAACATTTGATGTAAACAATTATATTTGAATATATATATATATATATATAAATAACTATTGGTAGAATGGTAAAAGGTTTACCTACAAAATTCTTTAGCTTTGTGCTTAACTATAAAGATATTTTCACTTACTCTATTTAAAGATATATAAAAGCATGGAAAACAAAAATACATTTACAATATTTTTTATTAGATAATGTAAATACAAGTATTTTAGTAATTTTAAATTGAGTTGATGTTCAAGTTACCCGTGACACTAATCTCAGTTAGAATTTTACCGAACCCTGAAATTCCGTGCATTTACAGAATGCAAAGATGATCCACAACAAGGCCATACCACTCATTCATCCAAGATTAAAATCTAGGTCAGGTCCAGCATAGCTGTGAAATATACAGGTGTTTCTGGAATCTTGAGCAGTATAGACTTTATGCTTACGCATATGCCTCGAAACCTCGAACTCGGAAAACAAATGAGCCTATTTGGGACAAATTTGTATAAATAACCGTTAAGGTCAATGGCAGATCCATAAATATTTTTGAGGGCATGCACACATATATTAACTACACAATTTTTTTGTAAGTGGGTGACCACAAATAAATTCTCATGGTGGATACAACAACAGAAGAAAATTCAAATTTCAGGGTGAGCATTTGACTATCTTGAATAAAGGGTGCATCTGCCACTAATCGAGGTGCATACCTTAGCAGGAATTTAACCAGGTAAGACCGCTGCTCAGGATCGGCATGATGGTAGAGAGATGCCTCCACAGCAAGCGGCAATAATCACGTAGAGTAGCAGAACAATCAAGCATGTTAGCATGGCCCTGTTTGTACATGAAGGTGTATAAGTTCCTTTATGTGGCATTCAACATGCACCAAAGATGCAAGCTGCTTTCCTCGGTTTTCGACGAAAATGATCAGAAGTGACCACACAACTGACATTATTTGAAAAAAAAAATTATCTGACTTATTCCTTGGTTTGTCCCGTTATCCTTTTATGGCGAGCCTTGTACACGGTATACATCCTCAAAGTCTTAAAAGCTTGACCATTTTTATCAAACCAAATTGAGCACAAATAGAATAAGCTCAGTGGCAAAATGAAATCTCTAGGTTCCCTTGACATGCGAAGCCATTATTCACGATTTCGCTCCAAGATTATCGACAATAGAGGACCCATAAATCAGCTATTTGTCTATATTTTCTGTAAATATAATTCTATAAAAGAAGTTGGATGTATTTACAAGAGTTTCGCATTTTTCATCCAAAGTGCTTGATGAAGGCGTTTAGACTGTTTCTTGAAGTGAAATGCACCATCTTGCATCGTTTCCGTTTTGTCAACAAGAAGCTCAATCCTATCACCTCTCTCAAGTATCTTCTCAATGTTCTCCACCATAATTGCACGTATCTAAAATTGAATAAGAATCACAAATTCAGCGCACATTGATCATTTGATATGCTTCCATTCAATGAATAAAAATGATGTCAATACAGACAATCACAAACACAAATATTTTCGGAATAGATGTTGAACAACCGAAAGCTTTTTCTCAGCCAAACTAGTCATCACGATTGTATATTTTTTGTATATTTGATGATCAAAACTACGGCCTAGGAAGTCAATAGCCAAAAATAGGAAAATATATACTCGACTTAGAATGAAGAGCAAGTCAATTTGCAAACAATCAATCAACACATTTAAAGTCTAAGATAAAAAGGAAAGAAGAAAATGAAACTCCAAACAGATGAAGAGAAAATGAAGTTCCAGCCAACCAGTGCAAGATACTTGCCTCACCCACTTCACCTCTAACACGATTGAGAGTATCTGCACTTGGACTACTGGAGAAAAATTCCATTTGTTGGTGCAACACCCGTGAGAAGTGCATAGTGAGCCACTCTGCCATAGTTTTTCATGAACCTCATGTGAATATCCTACGAAAACAGAACTCTCCCTGCAGTGAAGCAGAATTGTTAATAGCGACTCATAATCATAATAATGTCAGGCCAGGAGTGTTTTAAGGCAACAAGTGCTTCGCAAAGTTCAAACTTTTGACGAGGCGAATATATTGAATCTCAACTAATTTATATACATAATCAACTCCATCTTTTTACATCATAAAGTGGGGAAATAACCCATCAAGCAAGAAGACAAAGATATTGAATCTCAACTCATTTATACATAAATTATGCATATCCTTCCCAGTTCCCATAGTTTATATAGCAAATACACTCCAATTTTATGTTCCTAAACATAGCACTAAAGCGATAAAAAAAAATTATAGCTAAATTAAATGGAAATTATATCGGTAATTCTACAATAAATCTTATTGACTACTTCAAAGAAATTAACATGAAGCGTGCATTTCAAGTGACGGACTTCAAAGAAATAATCATATTATTCACTATTCAATTTGTCAACCTAAAAATTTGAACTCCCAACGAAGCTAAAAATTGCATAATTCAGAAATAAATGAAGTCAAAGAAACGTACTTCCAAAGGTATCATTCGCCATACAGAGGAAAGTGAGGCTGTCCGATCTCAGTATATGAAAGATATAACGATCCTGCTATAAGCAGAGTCTTGAATCGGCCTCTTCCGGAAGCTTCTCGAGGATCCGTCGTGCCACCGCACCGGTATTCCCCGTTACGGCACTGAACTCCGCCAGAACCGCCGTACCTCGAGCTACCAACGCGTAGAGAATCGCCATCGAGAACCTTCTAATTTGTTTTTACTGGCTTCGAAGCTAATTGGATGGCGGGAGCGGGATCGAAGAGCTATTTTGATGCGTGGTTTTTGGGGATTAGTCTTAGTTTAACCAAACAGTATATTTTTCGCTAGTCGGAATTTAGAAAATTAAGCAAAAATAAGGCAAATTGTGCAATATCATTAATGTATGAGTTAATTTCACTATACATCCCCAAACTATAAGACATTCTAATTTGATCGCCAATTTATTAAATATTCCAATTGAACCCTAAATTATAACTCGTTCTAAATTAATTCTCAAGCTTTTGAATGTTCTAAATTCATCTTTAAATTATGACATTCATTCTAATTTAGTCCCTAATATTTTTAATATTATAATTTCATTCTCAATTTTTTTAAAATAGTCTGAAGTAATTAAAAAAATACTAGTATTCATTCAAAATCTTACAATTGACTATATACACATATTATGCGACATAACTACTCAAACTCAAATTTTAAAAAATAACATTTTTTCATTACTAAAATCGTTTAATAAATTCCATCCTCAATCTTTTAAATGTTTTTGAGAGACATTGCTAGAATATTCAAAAAAAATTGACATTCAATGGTCGGTAAATAAGAAGTTAAACGATTTTCACATGTATAGCATTAAAACAATGAAAATCACACTTTTTTTTTCTTTTTTTCTTACATGAGCTCTAGAATCTAAATGGCAGCTTATCATTGGTCAATCGATATTACAGATATCTCATTACGCCAACGTGTCTAATCTTCCCGAAAAACGTTGTTTTTGGCAGCTCCATACTTGATTCGCTCTCGTCTTTTTTTTAATTCCAAAAAGCACCCTTCTGAATCAAAGAAATAAATTGATAATGCAAGGATACTCTTGTAATTCCAACCTTTGTCTTCCATAAAAACTCTCTGTCCACTTTCCACCACCCTCCAGTTCTAGTCTCCGAACTTTCTGCAAAAAGTAGGATAAGGCTATCTTCGTAGTTTTCAGCTAAAAAGATGGGCAAAAAGGAAAAATGGAGCTGGACCTCCGCTTTTGTCGGAGCAGCATCGGCGACGGCGGTGGCTGCTCTCCTCAGCGCGAGACCGAAAGACCCGACTTTCCACCTCGTTTCAATCAAGCTCACTTCCTTCAAGCTCAATCTTCCAAACGTGGACGCCGATTTAATCCTGACAGTCCACGTCACCAATCCCAACGTAGCGCCCATCAGATACGGTTCGACCACCATGTCGATCTTCTACGAAGGGACGTTGCTCGGGGCGGCTCAGGTGAAAGCAGGGTCGCAGCGGCCGCGATCTTGTCAAGTGCTGAAGCTTCCGACTCGGCTCGACGGCATGGAGCTGGCTCACCACGCCAAGAAGTTTCTTGACGACGTGGGGAAGCGAGAGATGGTGCTTGATGCTAAGGTGGATATCGGAGGTAAAGCTAAGGTGTTATGGTGGGGTCATAGATTCAAAGTACACGTGGATAGTCATATTACCGTTGATCCTATTTTTCTTGACGTGATTGATCAGGAAAATAAATCCCAATTAGAGATTTTCCTTGTTTGAGTTCATGATTTATCTTTGTTTTTTGAATTTGAACTATGCTAAATAATTTTTTTTTGTCATGCTTTGACTATGTTTTAATTAAATTTTAATGAAATATTTGGTAATGTATAATATCAGGATCGTCGTTGTAACGTTTTTCGTTAAATGGATAGTTGTGAATTGTGATGGTGTTTTATGATTTATCTTTTTAAATTTAGACGTACAATTACTTAAAAAGATGATTTGAAATAGTGAAGTGAAGTGAAGAGAAAATGGTTTGATGTCTGTTATATATCTTTTAATTTTAATTTTTTTACAAAGAATCTCCTTCACATATTACACTAGGCTATATTTTTATTGTCATCTCCTTAAACATTTTCTAAAATTCTTCACATCATCCTATTAACTATGAGCTTTGGAGTAACATTTAAAGTACCTATATGATCTACGGATGGTTATGTTTATTCAACCTATCGATCTACATGTAGCCATTATTATTATAATTTTTATAACAATACTAAAAGTTTATATGTAAATCATCAAACAAGGCTAGAGAAGGGGATTCTCATATTGATCTTTCTTTAATTCATCATCTCTCTCTTTTTCATAGAATTACATGTTATGACTTTTCGTCTAAATTAAAAAGTATAAACCGTCAAGTTATCACAATACCACTTTTTTCTAGTCAATAAAGTTCAACGAAGAAAGAGATACAAAAGAGAGTTTTAATGGAAACCTCTTTTGGAGAGAGATGTTTTGATATTGTATATGAAATTTACTAAAATAAAGTAAAATTATTTTAAAGTCTAACGTATTATCTTACATTCCACTTGATTTATTAATAGAAGTGATCGAATATATCAAATTGTCTCATCTGAGTGAAAGAAAAACATATTAGAAGCTTACGACTCCAAAACTATAAGTGTAGAGTTGTACATTGCGATTATGATGTGTAATACAATGTCTCGTTAAGATGGAAAAACGAGATATTAATGATGTTTCGATATATTGATAAGTTAATATAACAATATTAGACAATGTCTTTTTTTATTTTTTATTTTTGCAAGTGATATTATATGATATTAAAAGTTAAAATCAAACCATAATAAAGTGTTAATACTCGAATTCAAATTAGTCAAATAAATCAAACATCACATTATTATATATATATGAAAGTTAAAAACATAATCAAAACAGAACTGGATCGAAAAATCCTTATATGGTACATGTTAAAAGCCTAAGACACCTTACAATCTTGTTCATTTTCCATAAAAGCTTTATCGCTTTAGCTGCTCCCTAAGCAAATTTTCTGCATTCTGATTTGCTGTTTTTTTACACACATTATGGTTTAATATTGGTTGATTTTTAGATTAAAATTGATTTATTTATTTCTATTCTATTTCAGTGTGATGTATAGTGATCACTACAGGGTAATCATAGTAATCATGAAATGAACGTAGAAATAGAAAACAAAATATGAGTTCTAGATTTAAATGTTTACAGATAATATTTTTTTTAAATTATTGAACATTTATGACATTTTATTGAGTAATACGTTGATGATTTCATGTGAAGTTGATTTAATCTTAAATGGTTAGCCTTTAATTCTATAAACTTTTAGTGCATAATAATTAGGGATGGCAACTCAACCCGAATCCGACGGGTTTCGACCTGACCCGACCCGATCGGTCGGATTTTTTAAAAAAAAATTCGGGTTCGGGTCGGGTCGGGGTTTTTTTTAAATGCACTGTTCGGGTCGGGTCGGGTTTAGGGTAAAAAAAATCCAACCCGACCCGACCCGAAAAATATATATAATTTTATCTTATATATTTAGGGATAATTACAATAATATCCCTCCATATATAATTTTTTTCAATTAAGTCACTGTTTTCATTGAATTAAAATATTTTTTTTATTTCGGGTCGGGTTTCTAAATCATATATTCGGGTCGGTCGGGTCGGGTGAAACATTAATTTTGTCGGGTCGGGTCGGGTCACGGGTGGAGAACCCTTTCTTCTCGGGTCGGGTCGGGTGGCCCAAAAACCCGACCCGACCCGACCCATTGCCATCCCTAATAATAATACTTACGCGACAGGCCAACCATATATCAATGAGGCAGTGTAACCAATTATATATCAATCAGTCGACAAAATCGACCATATAATAAAACTAGCACAAGTACATTAAGAACTTAAAACAAATAAAGACTTAATCGGGAAACTTAAGAGAAGATAACAATTTTTATTAATACAAAATACAATTACAAAACCACACACTTACCCCATACTTTTCTCTTATTTACCTCTAAGCTTTCTTTCTTTAACTCACACTTTTGACACTTTTTCCCTCTTTCTCACTCTTTTTTCAATGGCAAAACTCACCCTTATTTATAGATTTTAGTATCTATTGGATTGTTGACACATGTCAACATCTTAGTCATTTAATATTACAAAATATTCAGATTCTTCTAGTAGATAATTATATATATATAATATTAGATTATTTTACGGATACTTCTACACATCTATTATTCCCATATTATTCTAAAATATTCTTAAAATATATGTGTGTGATACTTATAGATTTTCCTAGCATTTGCATTGACTTTTAACAGTCTCCAAGTTTTGTAATGTGGGTTGGGTTGTATATTCCTTTCTATTGTATCAACACAGGTTCTTTGCTTCTGATATGGCTTAAATCGTCTTTCATTTACGGACGGTAATTTTGTTTCCGATTACATAATCTGGTTCTATTAAATGATACTTCGATTTCTTCTATTCCTGGAGAGCTTTTAGGTCCATGGTGTCTTGTCCTCTTGCGAACAACAGGGGCTTTCTTTCTTTCTTTTTTATCCACCACATTGTTGCAATTGTGGTTCAAAATCGATGCTGCCGTCTGTTGAATTTCGTGGATATCTTTCCTTGCTTGTTTTTTTTACAACCGAGTTCGTATGCTTGTAATTCAAACGGAAAAATATTATAGTTTGTGTCTAGATATTGCAAGTTGATATTGTTAAGCATCTCTTGCACTCAATCTCTGTTGTTTTCCTTCTGTTCTTTTTTGCCACTTCTGATGATCCGGTTCTGCTAAATGTCCTAGATCACGAGGATTTATATTTCCTTTTTGTGCCACAAATTCTTAAAATGTACTAACCAAAAGATGTATTACTGCAGAGAACTAAGCAAGAGAAACTTGCAGGCAATGTATGTTCTTATCGTTCCCGTCTTGATCGATTCTGATCCGAAATTTGTAGAATTCAGATCATATGCTTTAAAGGGTTTTCTATTTTATTCCCATAAAAGACTTGCCACTATGCATGTAGAGACAATGTCTCGTATTTAATTTATGGTAGTATTTTAGGAAACTCTGTATGTTGAAAATCGATGTCGGTTGTTTCGATTTCATCTCATCTCATGAAAGATTTATGTAAACGAATAATATTTGATTTGTTAGTATTCATGGAATTGTTGAAATGTTATCCGGGACCAAAATTGGCTGCAGGTTCTGGGGGTTCCGTGATTGATGCTAAACCTAATAGGGGGTTCTGTGACTGATGCTAAGCCTAATAGCTCTACCTCGACAGCCAGAGCATCGACTGAGCAAACATTGACCGATACGTATCAGAAGTATGCAGTTCTTGCTACTGTTATAATCTTTGCGGGTGCATTGGGATGATATATGAAATCTGAAGAAAAGAAGAAAGAAATTCGGGACTAAGGTAGTTACTGCAAACCCGATCAAATTCGGAACCGAAACATAAGATGGATAGTTGTCTTTCTACTCGGACGTAGTGAATAAACCGAACTTCTTTGTCTGGTGAAACTTGGCCTACTCTGGGTTAAGCTTGATAGAGCTAGTAAGATCGGCCCGAGTCTGAAAGTTTGTCTTTGTTCAGCCGAGTCTGAAGACACATTTTTGTATTTTAAATAATTTTTTATTTTTTGAATAATACTTTTAACCTTTTTAAATCTAAAAGAAAAAATATTTGTAAATAACTGAAAAATCTATTAAGCACCTAGTCGATAATTAGCAATTTAGCATCCAATTTAACTCTTCATACGTGTCATTTGTCATGGAGTTTCTTTTTTATACAGTTCATCGTATCACTTGTCATATTATTTAGAGATGATAATTTAATTTGATTTAATTTTGTATAGTTAATAACTTTTAAAAAAAATTTGGTTTGATAGAATTTTGTTAAGAATAAATTCTTTGAATCGAATTTGAATTTAGAGTTAAAAATCTTTGACATGATCTGACACGTGATAATAATAAATTTTTTTATATAAATTTAGAGGAAATTGTTATAATATCATTTTCTATTGTTTTCAATTAAGCTCTTATTTTATCGAATAAAAATATTTTTTTTATTTTTTGAGTTAAGTCGAATGCAAATTTTATCCTCAAAATTGTAGTTAAATTTTAGGTTAGATGAAACCTCTCTAAACTCGAATCGAATCAGATTTTAATAAGATGTTTGCTTCTTGGATAGAGTCAGACTCGACCGATTGCAATATCTAATATTATCACTTAAAAAATTATTCGAATCATTATTTTTATTAAAAATAATTATTTATAATTGATAATTATTTTTTTAGAGATTTATTTATTTATTTATTTATTTTTAAATGTTTTTTTACTATTTAACACTTTAATTAATATACTAAAGATTTAGATTTTTGAGCTGAAACTTCAGGAGTAAAAGAAGTTATCGAAGTTAAAAACTCAAAAATTATTGAAAAAAAGTTTTTTTATATATAATTTGCCACGTCATCGTCCAAATTCCAACGTGGTATACTCTCCGTTTCTTATTGGCTATCTCCACGAGTATTGGTTTTGCTAACATACAGAAGAGATCCAGTCACATTATTTCCGGGAAAATTTAGAGAGAAAATAGTACGGGAGAGCCATGGCGGTTCGTGCGACGGTGTCACTATTCCCTGTAGATCCCGATGCACAAGAAGCGTCGGGCATTCCTTGGGGATTAACCGTGACGCCTTTCGCCGCTAAAGATGAGAACGGCCAAGCGCCGGTCTATGGATC